CAGAGCAAAGCCCCGGAGCACGCAGGCAGCGGACAGCCCAGACGCGTCTGGGCTGCCCGCGTGTTCCGCTGCTTTGCTTCCTCTCCCTGGTCTGCTGGAGACCAGGGAGAGGACCCCGTTCGTAACTGCGGATCCAACATAAGTCGGATCCGCGTAACTCGGGGACTGCCTGTACATACAAAGTACTATTTATTAAACTGGGCTGCTGAGGCTTAAAGTGAAGGCAACAATTACTAATTTGGCACTTCCCTTTTTAAAATAAATGTTAATTTTAAATGTTTCTTCTGAAACTTAGCTAGCTTGGGCATGTAGAGCTGGCAAAACAGATAAAAGCATTTGGATCCAATCAACGGTCTGATTTCATTCAAGATTGCAAGGTGGCACTGAGCTCTGGATGGAGAAGGTGTGAGGCTTCCTGGAGGTACTCAGGGTTGTAAGGCACTTCGCTGTCACCTGCCCTTAGCATGAAAGAACCTTGAATGTGCCTGCCATGGGTCAGCTCCCCAACTCCACTTTATAAGGATTAGGGATGCTAGATGTCATGTAACTGCCCCCCTTACCTTCCACACTGCTGTTGATACAGAGGCAGCAGTGCATGGAAGTTGAAGGGGGGTGGAAGTGTGTTTAGTAGACAAGATTAACTGATAAGCAAAGGCTTATCCGTTAATTGTGTAATTGACTACACATTGAGATCCCTAGTAAGTATATTGCTAAACACTATTTGTATAGCCTGGGTTTTAATCAGATTCAGATGATGGGGTCCTTCTGTCACAGAAGGTACAGGAGGTTTTTATACCACCACCCAACTTCAGTGATCATCACACTAGCATTGGTCCACCCCCAAAGGGCTTTAGGAAACTCAGACTTTTTTTTTTTTTTTATGGGAGTCAAGTCACCATGACTATGCCACCTAAAGGCCAAATGCAGTATAGTTTTAGAGTTTGTAGAACTGGCTGCCACATAGCTGCATTTGATCCACCACTGCCATTATTTATATTTTCATCCTCTTATTTATTGTGAATTGTAGAATAAAGAGGATTTGAAGAATCTTTCTGAAATCAGCTACTAATAAAGCAACTATCAGCCAGAGAGAAAGTCCTTGAAGGACAAAGTCCTTTTTTTAAATGGTAATTTTAAGTTGTTGCTTTTCCTCCCCCTCCTGGTGATTTACACACTTGCCAGCTGCCTGGATTGACTGAATGAAATATTCCTTATATGGAATAAGGACCATTTAAAGGCCCCTTTATAAACAGAGCTGGTCTGGGAAGACCAGTTGGCATTGAATGTGTTTTCCAATTAATAGAATGCTTATTATATAAGTGCAAGATTCACTTGTCCCATCAGTAGCATTAATATAAATGTACATTATACTTTAGTAAAAGGTTTAATAAATTGGTTACTGTTTAAATATACATGTATGTCTGGTGGTATAAATACATGTGGTATAAATAAAATGTCTTGTACTTTTTTCAGACTAGAGAAAACTACATCACCTATGAATTTGACTTTTCTAAAGTCTATTGGAATTCCCGTCTTAGCACAGAACATGGCCGTATCATTGAACTTTTAAAGCCAGGTGATGTTTTGTTTGATGTCTTTGCCGGGGTTGGGCCTTTTGCCATCCCAGCAGCAAAGAAAAAGTGCAACGTATTTGCAAATGATCTCAACCCTGAATCCTACAAATGGCTTCTACACAACTGTAAATTAAATAAAGTGGATCAAAAAATAAAAAAGTTCAATATGGATGGTAGGGATTTTCTTCTGGGGCCAGTTAAAGAAGCGTTAACCAAGGAATTGTCACTTCTTACAAAAGAAAGGAAACACTCTCTGCACATAGTCATGAATTTGCCAGCTTTGGCTATAGAATTTCTAGATGTTTTTAAACATTTTTTAGATGGAAAGCCATGTAGTGCTGACCACCTTCCCACAGTGCACTGTTACAGCTTCTCAAAACATGATCATCCTGCCAAAGATGTTCAAGAACGGGCTGAAGCCTTTTTGGGAACTTCTTTAGAAGGACGCTGCTCTACTCATCTGGTGAGAAATGTTGCACCGAATAAGGAAATGATGTGCATCAGTTTTCAGATCCCAGCTGAAGTACTGTACAAGAATCAGTTTACTAATGAAGGTAAATTAAAGTCTCGTGCTAGAAACTTTAGGGTATTTCAACTGTATCCTTTGCCTCAAATTATGCTTGAGGAAAAATGATTGTGCATTTGATGGATTAAAAACTAGAATTCTCTGATTCATGAGGCTTTCTAATCTTTTTAAGTGATGCAATTCCAGTTTTAGCCTTAATTTAGATCCCTTCCTGCACTAACACCACCCAAACAGACCCCAGGCCTGTGTGAAGTCAGTTGTAGAATCAGAGCCTCTATATTTGGCAGGATCAGGTTCTATAAATTTTAATGGGGAAAACTTAATGTTCATGTAGAAACTCCTGTTGAATTCAGTAGTCAGGATTTAGTCCTAGTAAGGTAAATGGCTTTGATTCATCACATGCTTAACTTCTACCCTCCCTGCTGTTTGTTTAAAACCCTCCAGCTTTAACACTGGACTCTGCACAATTAATGTTAAGTGTCACAAGTTCTATGTGTATATGAGTGTAGACTGTCTTGTGTAGAAATTTTATTAACTGTTAATGTACCACTTTCTGAAACTGTTTCAGAGAATCCTGAGGAACCAGCCTCCAAACGCCTGCGCCCAAATGAAGACTCTCCTGAAGAAAAATTACCTAGTTTAAAAGACCCGTTATAATACAGTTTTGGTTATTTTGTGCAAGACGGCTAGGTGGGAAATCTACTCAAGTCATTGGAAGCAGAATGGAAATATCCACTTACACCAAGAAAATAGTTATCATGTATGAAGGTCTGGGGTTTTTTTGTTTTTTTTTTTTTCCTGGATCACCTTGCTCCTGTACATTTTAATTCCAGGAATGGTAACCAGGCAGGATTTTTTTTTTATTGCAGAGAATATTAAACTTTTTATTTTCTCATGTTAAGTGTTAGTTCTGTGGTGTGTAAGATGTCCTTCGGAGTAGCGAAATGTCCAGTAATGGTATGATACCACAAAGAGATTGGGAAGGTTTCCAGATGTAGCTCTATTTTTGGCATTTGCAGTTTATGGCAATACTTTTATTGTAAATATTTTAGATTGGATATTAGGGCCCGTTCTGTGTTTGTAGTACATTTCAAAGGAGACTTGTATGTATGTTAGGAAAGGCCATCTGTATTTGTGCAAGCAGAACAGGGCTCTGAATGTGCAGATGGGTTTGGCATTTACAAGCACTGTATTTACACAAAGGGAGGAAAGTGCATGAACATATGAACAGCTCTTGGGTAAGCAAGACAACTTTTTGAAAATTTTTTGAGAATAAGGTACACACGTGTACTTCTGCCACTGTGGCGATAAATGGTATTACCACCAAACTGATTTAGCTAGGTTTTAGAGAACCCTGTGGGTATTGAAGCTTGAAACTCTGTTGCCTGCTAAGTGGCCATTAGTACCTAACACAAGGGCTACGTCTACACTGCAGGCTTCTTGTGCAAGAACTGTTTTGCAGAAGAGTTCTTGTGCAAAAGGTCTTCCACAAGAATGCGTCCAGGCTGCCATGTGCTTTTGTGCAAGAGTGTCCATGGCAGTGTGGATACTCTCTTGCACAAGAAAGCTCTGATGGCCATTTTAGCCATAGGGGTTTCTTGCACAAGAGATTCATGTTGCCTGTGTACACTGCCTTCTTTGGAAGAGCTCTTGCATAAGAGGGTTTATTTCTTGTGTGGAGAGGAATAACTCTTCTGGAAGAAGCCCTGTTTTCCGACGCTGTACTGTAAATTTACTTGCGCAAGAATGCATGTGCAGTGTAGATGCTCTGCAAGTTTTTGTGCAAGAATGGCTGTTCTTGTGCAAAAAGCCTGCAGTGTAGAAGTAGCCAAGGGGTTTAGATTTACATCAATGCAAACTTGTGACTTGGGCACTGAACTGGAATTCGTAAATCCCAAGGCCAGAACACCCCTCCCCCTCCCCCCCCCCCAAAACAAAATTCCTTTTGAAATCTAAATTTAAAAATTGGCAGTGATGGAGAATCTACCACAACCTTTGTTGAATTGCTCCTGTGGTTAATTGCTCTCAATATTCAAGATATGCCTCATTTCCAGTTTGAATTTGTCTCGTTTGTTTCATTTTCCTGGCACAACCAAGCACTGACCTTGCTTTCATTTAGGATAAGAGGAAGCTTCATACCAAATGTAGAAGTCTCAGCTCTCACCATTTAGGAGTTCTTGAAAAAATGGACTCGCAGACAAAAGGCTTCATACCAAATGTAGAAGTCCCAGCTCTCACCATTTAGGAGTTCTTGAAAAAATGGACTCGCAGACAAAAGGTCTCAGATGCACAAATCTCTAAGATATAGAATTGTAAATCTTAGCATGACTGCATTTGCATGTATTAGCAGATGGCTAAAGTGATACAACTCAACAAGTGGAAGGAATTATCTGGGGAACTGACATAAGTGCTCTAATGTCATCCTGTGTGAATTCAGATAAGTTCATGTTACTATGTTGGTACCCAGTACTGCCAATCTATAATACAATGCACAATTATGGAACTTGGCCAACTGTCTGGTTTCTACCATCACTGCAGAAGCTCTTGTTTCGTGCTGTTCCACAACCATCTCTCTTTAGCTTCATGTCTCTCTCCTATACACTGTCTCTAGCAATGCTGTTCCACAACCATGTCTCTCTCCTATACACTGTCTCTAGCAAGGCTGTCACTTTCTTGTGACACCAGTTCTGCTTTTCTCTCCCCTTCCAAAAAGCTGGCCAGCTGCTTTTTAAGATAAATCTGAAAACTTTGCATCATTTCTCCCTATTCTAGAAGTTCTAGTTGTATGCCTCACTCAAAACTGTTTTCATCTCTCCTTCCCCTCCTACACTAATTTTTAAACTGAATCCCAGGGAAGCAATTCTCTGTGCTTTTAATCTGCCTTATTTCAGTTGCTCTAACACTTAGCAACCAAGTATGCTTTACCAAATCGATCCTCTTTGTTTTGTTAATATCGCTTTTTTAAGACTATGATCTGATTCCTGTGTCTTAGAAGGCAGGAGGTTCTGTGTGCACATGCCTGAGATTGAAGATCATTTAGTAAGAAATTGCATTTTGTTTTCAAGCTCTCTCCTTAGGGAGGGTTAAGGAGCTTGGAGGTCCCCCACAGGAAGAAATTTCCAAGTACGTCTTCCTGGATTCTCAAGGGTTTTTTTATGTTTGGGTGGTGGCAGTGTACCACCCAAAGTCAGGGAAATCTGTGACCTTAGGAAGTTTTAAACAGAAGCCTTTGCGTTTGGGTGGTGGCAGTGTACCTTAGGAAGTTTTAAACAGAAGCCTTTCAGGGAAATCTGTGACCTTAGGAAGTTTTAAACAGAAGCCTTTAGTGGAAGAGTATTTTAAAGTCTCTTGAGGGCCCCCCACCTTCTGCACTCAAAGTGCCAGAGTGGGGAACAGCCCTGACAAGTGCTCTAAATGCCCCAACAACTATGTAGATGAAACCAATCACTAAGCTTTCAAAGTCACATAGGAAAAAGGAAAGACAAAAACATCCATCACCTGTGGGTGAATAATTTTCACAGTGCTCTCTCCACTTCTCATCCTCAAAGAAAACCTGCACAACACTTTCAAAAGAAAAGCCTGGGAACTTAAATTAGTAGCTTTGCTAGACACTGTAGTTGTAGCTTATTACAGTAATCTGTAACACACTAACCTTTCTTGTCCTGTGACTTACAGGGATGTTAATGAACCTTGAACGGTTCACCTTGAATGGTTCACTAGAAGGTGTGCTAACTTCTTATGCTACACTATCTGATAATTTATTTAGCTGTGACACCTTTCCTAGATCTGAAGAGCTTTGTGTAGCCTGAAATCTTGTGTGTGTCTGCAACAGAATTTGGTCCAATAAAACATCTCAGCCTTTCTGTCTTTTCTAAGATCCTGGCACTGACTACAACATTGCATATCTGGGAAAGGACATTCCAGAGGTTAATGTATAGGCCTGTGGTCCTACCCCCTCTGCAACTGTAATACTATGACTCCACTAGAGAGCTTATAGTAGGGCAGCTGTGCCCCTGTAAGCTCTCTAGTGGTGCTGCTCTAAGCCAACAGGAGAGAGCTCTCCCTGGCTTAATTACTCCAGCCCCTGCAAGTGGCAGTAGCTATGTTGGCAGGAGAAGCTCTTCTACCTCAGGTAAGTAAAAAACATGGAGACCTGATGGCTTAATTACTCCAGCCCCTGCAAGTGGCAGTAGCTATGTTGGCAGGAGAAGCTCTTCTACCTCAGGTAAGTAAAAAACATGGAGACCTGAGAAAAGGATTATAATTTGGGGGAGTATGGCCAGTAATAGCAGGGATAAAGGAGAGACAACTGTCAGGGGGAATCAAATCAGTATCTCATACTAATATGAGATGTATGCTAGTAAATAAAACAACTATGCCATAGTTGGCGTCATAGAAATTTGGTGGGATAATACACATCATTGGAATATTGGTATAGATGGGTACAGCTTGCTCAGGAAAGACAGGTGGGGGGGAAAAGGAAGGAGGTGTTGCCTTATCTCTATAAAAATGTTTCCTGTGTCATCTGCATTCACATAAGCAAAGTCCTACCCACTCAGCCTGGCCCTCCCCATTGGCCAGGGGCAGGAGCCAGGGCTGCTGCAGCCTCAATCCAGCCTTCCCCAGCGGCCAGAGGGAGAGCCAGAGCTGCCTTGGTCCAGCCCTCCCTAGCAGCCTTGGTTGGGGGAAGAGAAGGTGGGAGAGCCAGGACAGCTGCAGTTCTTCTTGGCAGCTGGGGTGGGGACAAGCCTGAGCTGGGGCTGCTGCAGCCTCCACTTAGCCCTCCCCAGCAGTCAGGAGAGGGAGAGCCAGGGCTGCCTACCACCAAACAGAAGGAGGTTGGTGAGTGTAGCGAGCAGGGGATACATATTAAAAATGTATACATGTGTACTGAGGCTGAGATGGAAATAGGAGGCAGACCTGAAAGTCTCTGAGTAAGGATAAATAGATGTACTGCAGGCTACCTACCAGGAAGAAGTAGTTGAACAAGGCTTTTTTTAAACAACAAAATCATCCAAAGCACAGGACTTAGTAGTGATGGGGAACTTCAGCTTCCCAGACATACTGGATTGATGGTGATTGGATGCCTAAATAGTGAATGAATCTCAGTGAAAATGGAGTAAGATCGGAGGCTAAAATAAAGGGAAAAAAAGCACATTAAAAATTATTTAGACAATTAGATGTCTTCAAGTTACCCCAGAGCCTGATGAAATGATTCCTAGAATACTCAAGAAGCTGAATGAGGATATCTGAGCCATTAGCAATTATCATTGAAAAGTCATGGAAGATGGGACAGATTCCAGAAGACTGGAAAAGGGCAAATATAGTGCCCCTCTATAAAAAAAAAAAGAAAGAACAGCCCAAGGAAATACAGACTAGTCAACTTCTCTACTAATAAAAATAATAAAGCAAATAATTAAAGAATCAATGTGAAAACATCTAGAAGATAAGGTGATAAATAATAGTCTGCCTGGATTTGTCAAGAAAAAATCGTGTCAAATCAATCTGATAGCTTTGTTTGACAGGGTAGCAAAGCCTTGTGGATGGGGGAAAGCGGTAGATGTGACCCATATTGGTCAGACCAATTGGTCAAATACCATCTAGACCAATGAAGGAGGGATTTAAATATCCCCGGTTTCATTAAAATAAAAATGGCCATCATGCTGTGCTGGCTTATTAAGTGATCAATGTCTTGTTGCTGATTACCAGCCCTGAAAAACAGGGTAGGGACTAAGGATGTTAAGGACTAGTTGCTTCCCTCCCCCACCTTGCTGCCTCTGTCTGGGCTCTGTGTGGCACTGCTGCTTTGAAACGCTGTCGGGAGCTCTCGTACATTTCAAAAGGAGGAATGTGGAAGTGCCTATCAACTAGTCGGTGGAAATTCCAACTACTCAACTAGTAAATTACTTGTTAGTTAACATCCTTAGTAGGGATACCATCTCTGCCCATCCTGGCTAATAGCCATTGATTGACCTATCCTCCATGATTTTTTTTTAACCCTATTGAAATTTTGGCCATCACAACATCCTTTTGTACAGAGTGAGAAAAAACCTCCAAACACTGAAAAGTCCCGGTCGTACTCTCCTCATATCATAACAGTTCCATATCCCTAATCATTTTGTTGCCCTTTTCTGAATCTTTTCCAATTGCAATATATCTTTTTTGAGATGTGACCACATCTGCACACATTATTCAAGATGTGGTCATACCATGGGTTTATAAAGAGGCAGTAAGCTATTTTCTGCTTTCTTATGTATTCCTTTCTTAGGGTATGTCTAGACTACATGCCTCTGCCAACAGAGGCATGTAAAATAGGCTACCCGACATAGTCAATGAAGCAGGGATTTAAATATCCCCGGTTTCGTTAAAATAAAAATGGCCGTCATGCTGTGCTGGCTCAGCTGATTGTCGGCACAGCACGTGAGTCAAGACGCAGATCGGTCAACAAGGGAAGCCTTTGTCAACTGCTCTGTTATGCCTCATGAAACAAGGTTTACAGGAGCGGTCGACAGGCTTTCCTTGTCGACCGATCCGTGTCTTGACTTGCATGCTGTGCCGACAATCAGCTGAGCCAGCACAATTAGGGAGAGGAAAGAGGTTGGGCAGGGGTTGAGCTTTTGTGGAAGGAGTGGAGGTAGGGTGTGGGGCAGGGATGGAAGAGGCAGGGACCGAGGTGGGGGCAGGCCTGAAACAGAGTGAGGGATGAATACCCCGAGTAGAAAGTCACTGGCATAGGGAGGAAGTCAGCACCTATGGAAGTAAGATGAAGCAGTAGGAGGCTGGAGATGGAGCTGCCTGCCCTGAGAAACTTCTAAATTAGTGGTGTCCAAACTTTTCTTTTTGTGCCCCTCCATCCTTACTTGTAATGGAATGTCTCTGTGCTCCATCACCCACCCAGCTGGGAGCAGTTGTGGCCGGCCAGGAGCTGGAGTGGAGCAGGGCTGTGTGGTGCTCTCTCTCCAGCCCTGTGGGGGCTGGCCCAGGCCTCCTCACATCCTCATCTCTGGTGTCCTCAGCAGTCCCCAAAGGAGGCACACCTAAGGTTGCCAACCCTCCAGGATTGTACTGGAGTCTCCAGAAATTAAAGATTACACTTTAATTAAAGAGGTTATATGATAAAATCTCCAACCAAAGCTGGAAACCCTAGGCATGTCCCATTGTTTGGAGACCACTGTTCTAAACTACAGAGCACTTCTGCTTAATAAAGGAGCTATGTTGGGGGAGGGAATAAAATGAAGCAAAGGTTTGTTGCCTTATTTTCTAGATCACTCATCTAGGCTGGAGAAGCTAGTTTTATGGGAAAAAAGAAGTTTGAATATTGACTCAACTTATAATCAAAATGGCATTTAAATGCTTGTGCAAATAAAACCCTGCAATAAGAGTGAAGCCACAAAATTTAATAAAACGTCTGGTTTTATTTAAAAAAAATTTACAAGTCTCTTTTCTAAACCTCAAACATCCATAGCTGAATTATTCACATCTTCCATTAGATGTGGCTTATTGCTTCAGCCCCTCTCAGGAAAGTGCCACATGAATAAAGAGTTCCCCTTCCACAAAAATGCATCCACCACTTTATAAAGCTCTTGTGCAGACTTCTTTTAAAAATACTTTAGTCAAGCCAGCTGTGTTTCAGTAATTTACATCTACATGAAAAGCGAGACAGCAGGTTAACGATAGTGCAGAGGACAGCAGTTTTACTGGACATTTCTTGACTTGCTCCTTGTTGCAGGCCAGTCTCCACTGCTCACAGGCTGGTCTGCAGGCTAGCTGGGATGCCAGAAAAGCCCACTGAAAGCATCCTGTAGGGCTCGGTGACAGGCAAGGGAGGAAGTGTAGCCTCCCGCAAGATCCTGTGGAGAGGTAGCTCGGACATGGTTTAGATATCTAAAACAGAGAAGCATTGTTTTAGCCCCCAAACGATCAAATATATTGTGGTAAGCCCAAGATTTTTTTTTTAAGTTCCCACATTGAAAACTTTTCCAAGAATGGTCAAAACATTATTCGAAATCTAAGACAATTTATAGCAATCAAATACATTTAATTGATCAATAAGCAAAGTATCCTGAGTGATTTCTAACATATGTAAAGCACAGAGATTATTCAAGTCAGGCCACATACAAATGTATTTTGTATAGTCATCAAAACTAGATTTCTAAAAGTTTTACTGATCAAATAGTAGAAGATAATGTGCAATATGGCTTGTAAAGTTCAAAAAACAAGGGTTCAAAGACCTTCTCAGACAAATTTCAGGGACCTTGTAGCTGATGTGCTGGAAGAACCTGCCCATGTGTGGTTAACACAGATTCCCAACCTTTTCTGTCATGGCACACCTTTACACCTTTCAGTATTTTGAGAGACACCACCATATTTCATTTGGAGACATGAACCAATTCTAAACAAGGCTCTCAAATGGATTGGATTGGAGGAATTTGGCCTCAGCTGCAGAAGTTCTCAGCTTTACATCTGTTCATCCCAAGCCCAGCAATGAATTTTGCCCCCCCCCCCCCGCAAACAGCCAAACCCATCCTGTCCCCCACTCTC